CCCTAATAATGGAAGAGAAATACAGCAAATGGATAAAGATTGACACCCTATTTTGACTTGGATAGGTGTTGTGACAGGATGAGCTGCTGTCAAACATAAGCAAGAAATATAGAGAAATCTGGAGAATAGAAATTGCACGAAGGCACACGGAGATTGTGCAGGAGTACCCATAGGATCCAATAAGGTACTGTAATGAGATAACAGGTGCAAAGAGAAAAAGAGTTCCTAGATGAACTTTAGAGTAGAGACTGTGTAAAGATTGTATAACAGGAATTTTTTGTGCTCTTGATGAAAGCAACAGGCAAGAACCTTTCCAATACATACAAGGATGGAAAGAAGAGCTGTTGCAGATGCACCTAATTGAAGGGGTGCAAATATTTGTGATAAAAAGGCGATCGCCTATGATGAAAGGCGAAGACACCAAGGGAGTTGGTATGAGTAGAGCTGTCAAGCAGAAAGGCATAGAAGCTTTAAACATAGAAATCGAGATGGACGATTGTGAGGAGTGTACCACAACTCTCTCTTTCCAATACCGCAACTCTCTCTTTCCATATGATCAATGACAGTGATCTCTCCCATAGTCCACATGGTGGTAGAGAATTTTGGAGCCACTTTGAAGCGTCCTAGTTGAAAGAGGATGGGACCGCCGATGAAAGGGCGAAGACACCTTAGAGAGAAGGTATGAGGACTATAAGATGAGCCCAAGATCAGACCGTCGTGTAACGACGAGCGGAGACACCTCAGAAGAAGGTGTGAGGGCCATGATAGGAGCCCTAATTACAGAACATCCCAGAGCCGATGTGATGGTTAGATATGAGTGGATAGATGGATAGCCAATGAAGTGGCTATGATGAGTATGAAGATAAATGCCGAATTGACTTTTATAGATATTACCCCCATGTTAAAGATCAATAAGGTAAAGACATTTGCCTTGGAGAATAAGTGGATGACCGGTGGAGCATTAAGACACGATTGCTATGTAGGAGCAGAGGGCATGCACAGGTTCCTAGAACAAGTTGACTCTTGTCAAGGTGGTGAGCTTGGTAATGGCATTAAAATACTCAGAGTATGAAGACAGATATGAATCAACCTTTAATGGGTTGCCCCTATGGTTAAAGGTGAAAAGCTACCTGGACTCTTGAAACTTAGAGCAGGAGACTCACAGAGAAGTAAGGCGTGGTTCCTAAGGTGGAACAGAAGGCAGACGCAACTCTTAGATGAGTAGACTTTTGGAAGAGTGGTGAGCTTGTGATCACATTAAGATATTCAGATAATGACTGTTGCACTTAGGAATATAAATTTTCGTTTGAGGGGTGTTGTAAGCCTTGGTGTGAGGCTTGATAAATCATTCAGGACCGAGCATATTTGATACACTCGAAGGGGAATATTGTGTCCTAGAGACAAGCATTAACACTCTTCAAATGTGATGTGGGAGACCATCTGGTTCAAGCAATCCTTTGGTGTGAGCAAGGGTGTGCTCATGTTACTCTAGAGATTGAAAGGTTTGGCGAGTACCTTTAAACTTAGCCACAAGCTCTCGGAATGGTAAATTTGGAAGAGCTGCAGGATGCAAGCATGTGCTGAAGAAGCAAGAAAACAATTGCACACATAAATGGCAAAGGGGGTGATTGTTAGGATATTGTCATTTTATGGCAATACCCCACCACTAAGCTTAGTGGAAGCACCATTAGTGCCACAATTGGTGGCATGTTTTATGGCTTTCTTGTCCCCTCCATGTGACAAGAAATGTGTTGGAGAAACTATCTTTAATGCTTATAAAAGAGGTATAATTGTAAAGAGCAAAAAAAGGAAAGAGAGTTAAGAGTGAAGAGAAGAGTGAAGAAAGAAAGAGAGAGATGCCAAGGGCAGCAGCCCTGCTATCATCGAAAGAAAAGGATGCCAAGGACAGCAGCCCTGCTATCATTGCAGCAGTAAACTGGGAGTTGAGATAGAGTAGGTGTAATCCTTTTCCTCTATGTATTTGTTTTGTATTTTTTCTCTATCTCTAATAATATCAATTCTCCCGTGGATATAAGCAATTTGCCGAACCATATTAAATATTGTGTTAGCATGCTTAACCTCCTATAAATAAATATGAAGACATTACTGTCCGAATTCCCAACACTAAAACCATGATCACAAGCTAAACTGATGTCCTGCCCTTATTACCTAAAGAATCAAAACAAAATTTTAACCCTAACTGATAGTGCTGCGTACAGATTCCTCGACAAAACAGCAATCAGGACTCCCCGAGACCATGTGAATGCAGATGGATCGCTGGTGGAAGAAGCGACATGCTTGTTGGGAGTGTTTCCTATATGGGCAGCTGCTATCATAGACTATTTTGCTACAGTTCAACAGCACACCTATGTAGTCTTCCGGGCAGTTCAAAGCCACAGACGCCTATGAAACAGCAACTTCAATATACCAGCCGCAACTTATATATATTGTGCTCTTGATGCTAAGTTTAAGCATTTTCATATCTATCTATGACCGAATTTTTGTCCCTTTTCTGCGAAGGATTACAGGTAAAGAAGGTGGCATCACGATCCTTCAAAGAATCGGCACTGGCATCTTTCTCACCATTGCAGCAATGTTAGTCTCTGGCTTAATTAGTCGAAGAGAAGCAAGAGACTATAGCTCTTACCAAGCCGACTCTTGGAAATGCACAAAGAGGTGCCATCTGATCAATTTCGGCTTTATGGTTAATCCTTCCGCTACCACTAGCAGGAACAGCAGAGGCATTTGGTTCCATTGGACAGACTGAATTCTACTACCAGCAGTTTCCTGAGAAGCATTGGAGAGTCTCTCTTTCATTGTGGCATAGCAGGCCTCAAGTTATCTGAGTAGTGTTTTTTTTTTATTGCTATATATCCCACTGAAGTGAAAAAATTTTGATCATTTCTTTCAGAAGAAGACGACTCTTTTTAACATTTAATTCATGCTAATTTTATAATCAACAAAATATTTTATTATGACAGCCATCTTAATCAGAATCTCGAAAATCTCTCACTTCAATTCAATCTGAAAGATTCTTCTAACAAAATTCTTCAATGTGCAGATGTTTTCAATGCCGTGTGCTGTATAAAACCCTGGCTTTGTAATGATTATCATGGAGCGAAGCGACTAAAGTAATCCCATCTTGCACAAAATCTCTATGTAGAACTTATTCATAGTTTATTTATTGTTACAGTTCAATAATACAAGGTTCTTGCAATGAAGGCTGGCTAATTTTGAAGCGTAACAGTTTCGGTTAAAGAATCAGTTTGAAGTTGAAGAGGCTTGCATCACACGTGGTCAATTCAGTTATAGTACATGTTAAGCTATGCTAGAAATAGTTAAAAGTTAGAATAGCAGTTGGAACGGTTAGTTGAAGTTGGCGCGAAAGAGGCTTGCTTGTATGTAAATAACAGACTGTGTGTTACGTGAAGCCTTCACGGTGAAGGAGAGGAAAAGAATGAAGTTATTTTGCAGAAACTGCAGAATTCTCTCCCTCTCTCTTCAATCTTTCTCTTCTCTGTTCTTCTCTCACAAAGTCTATCTTCTTCTTCTCTCTCAAAATCTTCTTCCCATCTTGTTAAGGCGAGACCTTAACATCTATCTCTCCTTCAAGGTGCAAGAAAAAAAACAAAAAAGAATATATAACAAAGCGAAGCAAAAAGAAATTGTCAAAATGAGATGGTTTAAAATATTACATCGCAAATTATGTTAAAACACTCACGATATGGTCCCTATGCAGCTTGACGAACAGTTTCACTCAACTTCAATATTTCAGTCAACAATCGGTTGACAGAAGCCTTAATCTCATTTGGCACTGACAATTCTGGGTGCACTGCCTCCAACGCATATAAAGTGATGACCCTCATCACAACAGCTAAATTCAAAGTCTTGCTATCACCTCTCCATACACTTTGATTCACAAAATTGCATGAATGTTTTAAGACGCATTTGTTACATACCTGAGGAGCAAACACATGGACAAAAGATGTCACAATATTTTAGTTTGAACAGCAGAATGAAGATAAAATTAGAAGACAAATGGGATGGCTTACCGTGGCCTCTTGAATCTCAAAAAAATTACGCAACCTTTTGGCAGAAAAAACACTCTTTCTCGTAAGGGCAGGGCAACCAAAGAGAGCCACCTTTTTCAAATCACTGCCTGACAGCCACCTGTAAATCCAAGGTTTAAAGCTCGCAACAATCAGCAAAAATGGTCATGGAATTAATACGCTAGGTTAAAAAACAATGTGCAAAAAGGTAGCCATATTTCTTGTCATGTCTGCCTTCCAACCAACCATACAGAAATTACCAGAAAGTCAGATGCACAAACTTTTACTATGATGCCTGAAGGCTTGAGTTGCAAGACATTTGTTTAAGCCATTTAAGATATGAACAATTTGATTGTGGTGATGCATTCATCATTTGTAAATTCAGCAAACTTGACAAGAGACTCCATCTAATACTTTGATTAAACACATCTAATACTTCGATCAAACACTCAGCTGAAAAACCTGGGGTATACATCGAAAGGAACGAGCTATACAAGTGGCCTTCAAGAGCCCTCTAATGTCCTGCTCTGTAACTGGGTTTTCAAAGTTACATCTTCCCTTCCTACGGCATTCACAACACTTCTCTTCTGATAGTGCATTTGATGATGCATCTCAAAATTTTTCACAAATTTTCATAAGCACAGTTGATAGCTCAATACAGGACTAGTAAACGGATGGAAACATGATTCTCTGGGAGCAACAGGTAGGATATTAAAAAACCTTGCTCAACTGAAGCTCAACCCTACCTTTCAACTTTAGGTTGCATTCCATGTACAAAAATATTCCTCACTTGCACTACTTAGGGAACTGAAGTACCTAGGAAGCTTGTAAAGCTGGTCATAAAGATGGTTCAATTACTATAAACCTTGCTCTGAGGACGACTAAATGAACAATCTTGAATTTTTTGTATAATTAGACTACCCAGGTAGCAATGAGAATGGAGAAGTTCAAAAGTCTTTGAGGAAGTATATAAAGAACTTCTCGTAAAAACTTCCTCGAGAGAATCAGAGGAAAGAAAGAGCATGTGCAGTCTCCTTTGTGAACGCACAACAAAAACTCCCATGTTTAACAGCACAAATTAATCTATGGATGATCTTCGTAGCAGTCAGCAGGTCATAGAAAGCAATATCTAGTACTAGACGATGCTTATGCAAGGCATGCATTTTCAAGAACAGAAATTAACTTCCTTGTCATCCTATAATAGGATTGAAATTAAAAAATGTCCAGAGGCCAATAGCAATTGAAGAAAAGAACAAGAACATAAAATCTACATCTTTTGATGTCATTACATCGAATTCCTCTTTGTTTCTGATGAGTTAATAGAAAAACACAATAATCTATCATGATCAACTTCCATTAAGTTTCCACCACCTCACTTCCCTTAAACTGTAATTCTATGCACCACAGAAATTCAAAAGCTAGAAGCAGATCCCTCATCTGTTAGCACATTAAAATAACTTTAATATATTTTAAGATTTATGATCTTGAACTCCACGATAAATTGAATTCAGCTTCCCTAGATCAAACACAAGGCATCCATGTTATACGAAACTTCACCATCTTCAATTTCTCCACCCTTCTCTCAAAATTCAAGCATAAATAACATAACAAAAAAGCATAAAAGAAAAAAGGAAAAAAAATCCAGAAATCAACTTACTTTGCAATTTCTTGGTGATCTTTACCAAACTTCTCTACAGCATACTTGATAAAATCCCTGCCATAACTATCATTAAAGAAGCTAAAATCCAAGCTACCATCTTTCAGGAAATTGGCATTATTAAAGTATCCTTCTTTATACAAATGAGTGATAAACATTTCCATATCAGGAGACAACACCTTAAACACCTTGGGCCTATCCTCCCTCCCCACTTTCATCTTCCTTTCCGCCTTAAATACCACAGGCCTCTCTTCCTTTCCCTTCATTTCCACTTTGTTTTCACTCTTTCCCAAAAACACAGAGTACGAATTCTTACTGGGTGTCTCTTCTTTCGCTCTACTCATCACATTTTTTACCTTCTCTTCTTCACCCTTCTTCGAATCTGCTTCTTTTAAATCCCTCACTTCTCTCTCTAACTCCAACAACTTTATCTTAAACTCATTGGTTTTTTTATGGGTACCAAGGTTTGTTGTTCCGGTTTTTTCACATAATCCTACAGCTTCTCGGGTAAAAAGGCGAAGGGGTTTTTTGTTTTGGTCATTAATTTGGGATTCGGAATCGAGTTTGGTAGAGCAAGAGATTAAAGTTCTGTGGATGATTACTGAAGGACCCAGTAGAGAGAGGAGGTTTCGTTGCTGGGGTTTAAGGAGGAGAGTTCTAATTCTAAAGACGGAATGCATTGTGTTTTTGAGGATTTTTATTTTTTTTGGGTTAAATGTTTCATTTTAAGAATCCGGGGTTTAAGGTCGGCTTTGTTTGTCGTGAACTTTTATGTTATTGTATTTTTTAACTACATAATGAGAAATAGAATAAAGATTTAAGGAATAATTGTAAATATTGTTGCGGGTTAATTTCAATTTGGAGTGAACTCAGTCTCTGTAATGAAGTTTCTAAAAATCCAATCAATTCTCTAAACTTTTGAAGATTCATTAAATAGATTTTTTTACAAATAAGGAATAATTAAAAAAAAAACCTCAAATACTTTGGTTTATTTTTTACTTTTAATTTAAAATTTAAAAAATTATAATTTAATTCCATAATCAACCGGAAAAATCAAATGAGATGAAAAAACATATTTGTTTTTATATATAATAAATTTAAATATACTTGATTTTTTTTAAAATCTTGTTTTGCTATATTTATCTCTTAGCCTCCCTTTCCTTTCTCTCCAAACACGACAAATTCACACACAAAAAAAAATACTAAATATAAAGCAACATCCATCATTATTTATACATAATCTCTTCATATAAGTTAAGTTTATTCTTAGTGTTGTTTTATTCAACTTTGTTCCTCGAGAACAATGGAGAGTTATGTTTTTCACTTGAATCGTGATTCAATAACATATGTGTGGGGTTATTTTATGTTTAATTAATGAATAATGGTTAAAATATCGTGAATGTGCACTTGATTTAACAAAAAATTAATAATTTTTAATTTATCCTAAACCTAGTCATGACGCTTTGAAAATCCTAAATTAATTGATTTCTGGGTTAATTACTGTGATGTGGTAAAATTTAAACTATTTTTTTTTAATGCATTTTTTATTAACTAAACATAGAAAAACCCAATTTTATCAATTAAAGTTATTGTTCATAGTTGCTTTAATTAATAAAATTAGCAGATTATATATATATATGATTACTAGATAAGTATGTAATTAGAGTTTTTACTAGATAGATCTCTAATTAAATTTATATCATTTGTAATTACAAAATACAAGATGTTATTTATTGTTGTTCACCATAGTAGTCAATCATATGTTGAGAAAGGTTGTTGTTATGACTATATGGCCTAAATGGATATATTGTCATATGTAATCAAGCTTTTGATGTAGACATGTATGGTTTTTAAATAATAGATGATAAGGGGAATCGAATATTTGATGATGCATTAACATTGAAACTAATGAAATTACACTAAGGGGAATAAGGAATACATATTTATATTGATGTTAATGATGTTGTTGTTTTTATAATAATGAAAATGTCAAGATGTTTCACTAACAAAATTGAAGTTAATATAAAAATTGAAGTGCAATATTTCAATGATGTTGATATTATGAGTAATAAAGCTATATAACAATTTGAGTGAATTGGATTTTCTTAATAATGATGATAGGAATTTTCAAACTAGAAAGTGCACTAGTAGTATGCATGATAAGGTTAATGATAAATATGCAAATAATGATGATAAAGAGGAGGCAAATTGTGATGTGCATGATATTGAATGGTAGAGCCGCCTCCTAGAATTGAAGAGTATTTTGGGTTTAATGATAAAGTTATGATTTTAAGGGAGTCGCCACCTAATATCATGATTATTAGAAAATCTATATAATCCATGAGAGTTTGAGTAAGGAGACTAGTTTTGTAAGGAAAAGACATTTCATCCTTAGTGTATCATACTTATAATAACCTATATTGTTTATTGATCGGTATATTTAAATCATATTGCTATTTGTTGGCCTTATTTATCAAAATTTCAAAGAAAATTATGATATTTTAATATTAGATCCGTATCTTATAGTGTAAGTCTATAACTCAATATTAAATGAAATTATGAGGAGAAAAAACCTATTTTGTGTTTTCTAGAATATTTTTTTTTGAATTTTTAGGATTCTTTTGAATTTTTTTAAGGAAAATCAAATAATTTTAATATCAAATTCATTCTTTACAATGTAAGTCTACAATTCAATATTAAACAAAATTATTAGAAAAAAATACTAAAAACTTGAATATTTTTTAAATAGTCCCTGTTTTAGATTTTTTTGAATTTTTTAAGGGTTTGTTTGGCTAAATACATAAATAAATACAAAATAAAACTAAAAAGAAAAAGCTTGGAGTGTATTTGATAAACACTTGAAGAGACATTAAAAATACCTTAAAGACATGTTTAACAAATATGCCCTAGGTAACCAAAGAATGTCTTACATCTTAAGAAAAAAATAGGGTGTCAAACATGTTTTTAAAGTTAGGTTCGGGCTAGGTACAACTACATTAACTAGGAATAGATCAATCTAATAATATCAGGACAAAAGACATCTATTCTAAAGTGAAAATACAAGCAATTTAGACACAATTCAAAACTTGTTAAAGAGATACTACTTAATACATTGAAGGATTATATGATGCTACAAGTTGAAATGATGTTGCAATGGATACGAGTGATGGTGAATTTAAGAGTTGTTGGATTTATTATATACATGATTTTTAGTGGTGTTTTTGTAAATAATATGATGATGCATTGGATAGTTTTTCAAAAAAATAAAATATCCAATTGTTTTTTTTTTATTTTTAGCCATCAAAGACACTTTAATAATTAAAATTATGATAATAAAAAACCTGTAAATAATATTTGACTTTTATTTTGACTCTGCAAAGTAAGATATAAAATGTAATGATGTTATTACACTAGTGTGGAGTTAAATTATAATTTTTTAAATTGAAAATTAAAAAAAATCAAAATATAAGAGTTTTTTTTTTATAATTATCCCACCAAATAATTTAATGAGATAATTTCTTTTTTAACTTTCAATATTTAAAAAAATCAAACACAAAACTCATAAAAGAAATAATAAAATATATATCAAACTATTTTTTTTGAAAGATATTGAAAATGTAATTCAATCATCAAAAGTTCATCATGTTTTTTTTTTTAAAAAAAATTAAGACTATTTTTTAATCAAATTGAGATTCATGTGAATGTCAAGAAATAAATAGCTTAGTTGATTAAATATTTACTGATACCCAGAAATATCAAATCCTTCTCATTTCATGTTGAGAAGGGAGTGGCGTCCAAAGAAGGAGAGGTTTATCTGCTATTGTATTCCAATTTCCATGCTTCAACCGAAAGGCAAGTTCAGGTTTTTTTTTCCAGTTTTTTTTTCTTAATATTTTTAGGAATTTTTTCATATTTTTTTCAGGAAAAATATAAATAAAGAAAAAATTATAATTTTTTTTAAATTTATTGATTCATAGTTTTTTTTAATCTTATCATAAATAAAGAAAAAATATAATTTCTTCCTTCATTATGAAGATTATAAAACCAGAAATAACATTTACAAGTAGTTCATTGCTCTGAGTCCCGTGCACTCGAAATAAAAAGTTCAGTTGTTGCAACATTTAGCCGGGCACATAAGTCAGAAGTGCTAGTTTAATTCTGGATGTTTGAGATTGTAGTTGAATTATATTTTATTTTAAAAGTATTTTTATTGATTTAAATTATATTTTTTTGTTTTTAAATTATTTTAGTATTAACATTTTTTAAATATTATTTTTAAATAAAAAATTTTAAAAAATAATATTTATATCAATCAAATAAGTATAATGATCAGATTAGTCCATGATAAAGAAAATTATGTAACATGCAAAGAAATGGACTTGAAACTGCATCAAAATAGAATGGCGCAGGGTATTTAGAAGTGTAATGATAATAATAATTTAAAGTATTTTTTTGTTTAAAAATATATTAAAATAATATTTTTTAAAAATATTTTCAATATAGTAAATTAAATTAATCTAAAAATATAAAAAATTAATTAAATATTTTAAAAATACACAATTTTATTATTAAATACTACAATAATTCACACTGTAAGCTGTAGCTGTCAATTATGCTTTGTTTTCAAGCACAATTTTTTATTTGTAAAACTATGTGATATTATATTTTAAAAATATTTAATTTTTTTTTATTTTAAATTAATATATTTTAAAATTATTTTAATATATTAATATTAAAAATTATTATTATTTTTTAAATATTATTTATATATTTTTAAAATAAAAAATACTTTAAAAAATAACTCTCACATGCACTAACCTCGCTCATTGCCACAGTTTAACTGTGTATATATTTTTAAGAGAATTAATTTAAATTTTTTTAATAAAAAATACTTTAAAATATATTTCTATTAAACTACGAGCCAGTCTCTAAGTCGGTTTAGAAGTTTGGGTTATTTAGGACACCGAACGAATATTCATTAGAAAACGACGTCGTGGTTCGAACTCCTATAAAAGCCAACCTAACAACAGCAAAACCACTAGAAAGTCTAAAACCCTCTGTTTTTTCTTAAAATACTGCTGCTGCTAGTGGCTAGTGTTCCAGCAACCCGCGATCATCATCACCACAACCCCGGCCGTCTTTCCTTGTTTCCGGTTAGAAGATACTTATTTTTTAAAAAAATTATGGGCTTAATGTCTTGCTTCGAGGCTATAATTTTGGTTTAATTTATGAATGAGTGAGTGAGGTTTGTCTTTGACATCATGTCTTTAGTTGATGTCTTTTGATGATTGTTGTGATTGTGATGCTCTGTTTAGATGATTGTTTTTGTGTCGAATTATGAATGCATGTGTTTTGGCTATGTTTTGCTTGGCTGCGTCTCTTAATTGGGGTGGAGTATCCTTATTTGCAAGTGTTTTTCTCCCTGTTTTTCATTGTTTCAAGGATATGGGGTCCTGGTTTTGATTGAGAAACCTAGTATTCTAACCTGAAAAGCTTTTTTGATTGATAAACCCAGTTCAAAGTTTCAATCTTTACTCTTAATCAGAATGTTGTTCAGTTCTGTTGTCTTCTTTGTTGGTTATATATATCCAGTGAGATTGGGGCAAAGCAAAAATCTCAACCATAATTATATTTTTTGTTTTGAAGAAGAAAAGAAAATGATTTAATTGGATTGTTGAGACAAATCAAATTGATTTAAAATTCAATCTGAATAAAATTTCCGCTGTCTGTATTCTGCTCTCCTCCATGGCACTTTCGAAGTCACTGCATGTTTGGTCAATTTTGAAAATTTGCATGAGGATCAGTAGGTTTTATTTAAAGTTTGATGTTTATCTTGCATCATATGCATGTGAATTTGGTATAAAAGATTAACTTTTTTTTTACCTGATTGACATATCGTGCTTCCTTTCTTTCAAGTGTTAGTCCTATTTCTTATAGTGGATATGTTTTTTTACCACCATGCCAATAAAGCAAGTTCTGCAAGCGAGCCAAAGAAGATAACTTAGGTAGGCCATTATTACATGACTCCATTCTGGTTAATCTTATTTTAGGGACTTGTTTTTAGGACAACTTTGGAGTGAATTTATGTACTTTCAAAATGACATGTCCCAACTGTCACCGTTTCTTCAGTCTATGCACTTAAAATACTGCCACCCATAATCTTATTGAAGAAAAACTTCTTAAAAATTTATCTTCAATTTTTGAAATGTTTAACAAGTTGAGTTGGGTTTCTATGTGATCTTTAGCTTTCAGATAGTTTCTCTGATTTGTGATATTGATATTCTCACTTTAAGACATTCTATCTATCCAAGTCATCCCAGTGTTGACATATTCATCTCTGCAGGTTTAGGCTACTGTCCTGTCCTGAACCAGGAATTAATATCTTGCAGTGTTTGAACACTGTCTTCTAGAATCTAATACGTAATGGATTTAAGATCAAAAGGTATGGCCTGGGCTGGAAACATTTACCAGAAGTTTGAAACTATGTGCCATGAAGTGGATAATGTTGTGAATAAGGTATCATTTTTTTCTTTCTGTTTTCTTCTCTTTAGCATGAGTTAAGACAGGCTTTTTTTCACATTCTCTGTCATTTTCTTTGATTGAAATCAATAGTCATGTTTTCTTTGGTTGTTGCAACTTCTCATTCATGCATCAATATTCTTAGCTGTAACATATTTACTTTAAACTGTCCCATGGGCCGGCATATCCCTGCATGCATCCACAGCACAAACATGATTTGGCCATTTCTTATACTTTTACTTCTTCTTATATGTACAGGATGCATTTAAATTCGTTGAAAATCAGGTGCACTCTGTGGGTGAGAACATGAAGAAAATCTATTCTGATGCTGTTCTTGATTTAATCCCTCCTTTGGTGGATCCTGCAAAATGTGAAGCTCCAGCAGCAGCTACCATTGGTGTGTATATTATTAAAACTATGATTGGCATCGAGGATGATCATGGGTATACTTCTCAGGCAAAGCAATCACCTGCGGAGCTTGGTGATCATGATCCTATGACAAAGCAGCTAGGCAAGGATGTCTGGGAGCTTCAGGTTGCAAATCAATTGACTATCACTGGCAATTCTGAAGAAACACTTGAAGGGGCAGAATCTGAGTCAGCTCTAGGAGGTGAAGATGTTACAACTGAGACTTCTGATGTGAGCACTGAAGAAAATTCAGTAAAGGAGAATTCCTGTGGACCTGAGGAGTTGGAATCCATTACTCATGGAGAAAAAGAACCTTTTGAAGCATCCAGTGAATTTCCTGATTTTAGTAGTGAAAATGCATGTGGGTTTCTGGATGAGGTTTCACCTGTTACTTCAGTTCCTGGCGAGGCCTTCCAGTGCCCTCAAGATGGGGGAACTGTATGTGATAGCTCTGTAGGTGATTCCTACTCTGCTAATGTGATTGTTTCTTCTTCTCAGATGTCCTTTTCAGTTGTATCTTCTGAAAGAGAAGCAGTGGAGATGGAAATTGCATCCCCCAGCTGTTCCATATTCAAGGAATCTCATTGTTTGCCTGGGAACCCACTTGATAACATCACCACCAAATTAATCTCTTGTGGTAATCCTTGTGATGTGGCTGGCCATGATTCTGACAGTTCCAAAATGCTCCTGTCTTCTACATCATCTCATTCTGATGGTTCTGTTGTGCTCTTGTCTTCTACATCTGCTCCACCTGTTTCATGTAAGATCAATGGAGCAGAGATGGGGCTTGCCTCCTCCAACAGTGTGCTGTCCTTGGTATCAATAGGTTGGTAACTCAATTTTATTTAGGGATCATATTTTGGTAGAAAAAGACTATAGAATCATTTCAGCCAGGTCCGCATTTTTGAAAAATCATATTTTGGTTGAAAAAACACTCTAAAATCATTTTAGCCATGCCTTTATGATGTAGTGTGGGAAGAGGAAAACAGTATAAAACAGAAATTACAGCAGCATAATGGTTAAAATTAAGCTAAATTGAAGTTGGAACAAGGTAATTAAGGTTTAGGGTTGATAAGAAACCTCTAAAATCTGAATGGATTGATAAATAACAAAAAACTACTACAAAAGTAACCCTAGCAGTCTATTATATTAGCTTAAGCCCTACATCCTTGTAGGGAAAGGATTCCTAGTCTTAGTCCCTCAGTAAAACTACATAGCCTATAAAGAAGATACTTTTAAATGTAACATTCTAATCACATGACCCTAGATTGATTAATCCTAATATCAGAAATATATTAAAACAAATTCTAGAGAAAGCTCCTGCTTTGCTTTGAATTAATTATGTGAAGCTGCCTTGTAATATCTTGATGGATAATTATCTTCAGATACGGGTTTGATTTGAAATTCATACAATCTCTGTGTCTGGGTGTGTGTTCTGAAAAAAATAAACGCTGATGAAACTTGTCTGGTTTGCTTTGAGATAATATCAAAAAATAAAGATAAACGTATGTCTATATTCTAGTTGTGTTATTGGTAAAAAGTTGTTATAGCTATCATCATTAGCCCTTGAGATGTAAAACATTCAATAAAATTGCTTTGTGGCCTATCTATAACGAATTAGTTTTAAATTGGTGTCTTCTTATGGTAAGTTAGAATATCAGCCTAATTGTCATCTCTGAACTATTATTGAATACGGGAATGAGGTATTGTTTGAATGCATCCTCTGACTAATAATTTGAATGGATGGTTTCAGCAAAAAGAAATATGCATATTAACGTAATCAATGAAAACTATTCTACATATAATTGGAACAGCCTGATTATCAGAATGCAGTAATCTCTAAGCATTATTTAAGCTATTGCAAACTGCCTCCTTATGTTCAGTATGTTTAGAATGTATGGTATGTCCTGTGCATAGTAAGATTTCCATGTATATGACTACATGGCTTTGACGTGTACATGCTATATCTTTCTTATTCATGGTTCCCCTTTCAGTGACTAGTATTGAGGTGTTAAATAACAATACACCTTAGTCATGGCTTTCTGGAAGTCATTCATTCTTTCTAATAAGAGAACGCATTTATAATATCACAGGTAAGGATATAATTAGCCTTTCACGACTTGTGAGTTTGAACCTGCTTGTTTCTTGGTGACTGTTTTTTTATCATTTTCTTGTTAACAAAACATAAGCTTCCAAACATGAACCATCCATAGCTGATCCTTTTTTTGCATGTGAATATCTGTTGCATAAGCGGAAACTTGCAAGTGTCTTTTTACTGATTTCTAGAAGCACGTGCAGGATGCTCGGACGACTCTGCTATAGAAGATTTGACAGAATCTGAAATGGAAAACATTGATTTGTCTGAGAATGTGAAGCTTGATGAAAGTTGTGTCATTGTTGACAATAGCTTTCTCTATGAAGTCTCTCGTAGAAATCGGAGGCTCAGATCATACAAGGTTTTACTCTCTCTCTCTCTCTCTCTCTCTGCGCGCGCACGCGTGCATGTGAATTTGTGGCTGTGCATCCTTTTGGGGTATTTGGAGCTGTGCATATATTTTCCAAGTAAAGGAAGAATTTATTTGCAGTTATGCAACTGATAATTTTTCAAACATGAAAGGAGAATAAAAGAAAAGGAGCCACTACATTCCTAAATGTAAAGTGCTTCAAAAAATAATGACAGATAAATTTTTGTTGGCTGGTCAAACATCGGCTAGTTACTCTACTGTATCTAGTTTGCAAATATGAGCTATATCTTTGTAACTTTTAGCTTTCTAGTTGGCAATCTTTCTGTTATGTTTTAATTAAATTCCACCATCTTGCGAGTGTGAATAAGTAAGAGGCTAGGAATTCACTAGAAACTGTAATTTCACACAGAGTAGAGTTAATTTTTCTTGAGAAAATTACTGTTCGCAACTTGAATTTTGTTATTCTTGGTCAATGAAACTCCATTAGAATCTTGTGCGTCTATGAATTCTCTAGAAACTGTAATTCCACAGAGCCACAGAGCACAGTTTGAAATTTTTTCTTGAGCCAATTATTGTTCACAACTTAAATTTCATTACTTGGTAAATGAACCTCCATTAGAATCTTGTGCGTTTATTTTAATTTCTTAATTTTGTAGATAATAAGACCTACTGACCCCCTTTTGGTTTTCTTCTTTTTTAAGAAAAAAATCCAAGATGCTTTCTCATCCAAAAAGATGTTAACCAAGGAGTATGAGCAGCTTGCAATTTGGTTCGGGGACCTTGATGGCCATGATACAATGCAGCACGAGTTGTCATCTAGTACCACCATCACCTTGGATCCACAAACTAATTGGAGACAAGACTCTGAATGGGAGCTGCTGTAAACAAATTGCTAAGGACGCGAACAAAACATAAGTGGGCTAATTGGCCAGCCGGCCCCTTGTACAGGTTAATAAGTTGAAGAGAATGCCACGGTTTGTGAATAATGGTTGGAGGGTATCCAGTTTGGTATAGAAAAATATAAAGTAATAAAGTAGAAGATGATTATCCAATCTTATCTGCCTAACTGCTGCTGCTGCTGCTGCAGTTTCTATTCTGATCAAGTTGCTATGAAATTGCAAAATCTTGGTAGTACTTGCGCTATTACTTTTCATTTTTCATCTAGATATAGTGTCTTCACGTTTGAGCTTTGTTGCATGTGCTTGCTTGTTAAGGGAAAGAATTTTCAACAGCCGGAAAAAATAATTGAATTACTAAATTTTCAGCTCATGAATGTAACTCTAGGACTCGCAGAGGTCTTTGCCTTCTGTTTTTTTGTTCTTTTCTTTTTTCAGCAAAAAGTTTGCATCTCTCCACTGTCGTAATCACATAAAATTTTGATGATTCTGTAACAAATACGCGTAGAGAATCTCATTCCAAGCATCAGGAACCCCTGGTAAACACCAGTGGATGCAGTCTGCAAATTTTTTTGGATCAGATCTTTGCTCCTTTGTCAAGAGCTTCCCCTTGCGTTCACCATAGATGGTTGTGTGGCCATCTTTTCTATATTCCGACAACTGGGTGATATTCAAAAAAGTAACATTGATTTTCGATTCTCGTAGGATATCATCAACTATCTTCATGATCTGGAGATTTGAACCTGTGCCCCAGTATGGACCTTCAATTGGGTAGGATTCATTGAAGCAGTTTTCATCACTTCCAGGCCTCCATTCCCAACTCCTACAAAAGAATGTTATGTTCTCTCATTAGGACCAGAACTTTATAGTTCACCGAAAATGAATAAATCTCCATCAAAAGAACTGATTAAAGGTTGGTTATGGAATAACTACGAAAACAGAGATTAGCTGATAACGGTTACCTACAATTAGAATGGGAGGGCTGGTTTCAGCATTTTATAACCTTGTTATTCTATTTGTTTTGAATGTGATATATCGAAGGAAAAGTCCGGAATTAGATCAAAATTCATTAAAAAAAGAGGAAGAGAAGAGGTGTCTGCTTTTGATGCTTTTTAACAGTGACTACAAAGATGGCATTAAGCTTAATTAACACGGGGAAACGGTGTAACTCACCACAAATGAGTTGGAGACATGCTCATGAAGAACACCTTCTGCTTGATGGAGTTGATGTTGGATTCTAGCCATTTTGCCCAAGTTTCCAATGCCAACTTATATGCAGTGGTTACATTATATTCTTGAATGTCATCTGTTGATCCATGTCTGAAACAAAACCACATAGTTGGACAACCTTTTGTTACATTCAAGTTAGATTTTGCTTAGTTACATGAGTGAATTCAGAAGTTATAACTTAAAATAATAAGAATGTGCTTGGACAGTCAGCAAAGACGTGAAGAACTGGATACTTACGTAGCATTGATCGAAGGCTTGTACATCCACCATACGTAGCTCTCGAATACTAACACGTCAACGCCTTCCCAGCTCTTTCCATGTTTAGCTATGGAATCGAGATCAACCAGCCGTTTTAGTACAGTATGATTTGTTGCATGATCTGAAATGGATTCCACAATGAAGGGAGCCCAATAATACTCAATCGATGCATTATACTCCTGAAACATTTTGCGGGAAAGAAACATGAATTTATTGGTTATAATCATATGCAATCACGGTTCAATTTGCTGGATTATTTAGCTGATAACATCCCCATGGCTAACTGTTTATATTTTGAAGAAAAAATTGGAAAAAAGTTTACGCGAATTGAGTACCTCAGCTTTGAAGATCTTCATCGGAGGAATTCGTTGAAAAGATTTTTTTCCATCAGGAATTACAGATTGCACCATACAGACCATAGACTCAAATTGGCCTCTCTGTACAGAATCTCCTATAAACATCAGCCTTTTGCCCCTCAAAATGTCCAGTAGCTTTAATGGATCAAATCTGAGACGGCAGAGAACATAATTAAAAAAGCATTCAGGAGTTTCTGCATTTCTACTGCCATAAAATAATGGCAAGTAGCAAGCCACGTTTCAAAGGGGGACATGAACACATCAAATGCCGCCCAAAAAAAAAAAAAAAAATGAAGTCTGACCTCGGCAATTTGCATGCATGAGGCTGCCACCTCCAATCTTGGTAGAAAGAATCAGGCCTACCATTTCTTTGGCAGGTGGTCTGTTTAACCAAGTAAGGGCAGCTTTCTTCTGTATAAAGAGGGTGGGATACATTGTCCCACACCCATTGCCCTTCAAAAACATCGCACCCTTTCTCAAACCGATCTTTTGGCAAAACCAAGACTGGTTTTTTATACTCGCCACCTTCTTGCCTTCCATATACCCTGAAGATAGAGCTCTGGTTGCTCTTTAAACTGTCTAGGACTAATCTTGCAGTTCCTAAAACAAGGAGAGAAGCTAACGCTACAGGGAAGAGGGTTTGAATTCGTCGATCAAGTGAAGGTTTGATCGTCATTTAGGGTGGGTGAATAGAACTGAAGTGGTTGCGTTTTACTTCCTTTTAGAGACAGCTTCCTTTGTATTTGACAGTGTATCTTGAGCTTAAAGTCTTTTCGACAAAGCTCCATGCAACCACCAGTTGGTAGATTACAGTTTAGGTAGTTTCTTAGGCTTAAAAGCATTATGATCTGGGCCATCCTCATGAGAAGTTAAGAATCATAAATCACAAGTAACCCACTCTGAAGTCGTTCCCTTTCTCTGCTAACTCTTGATGACTCTGCTTGGAGAGGTGGCACATCAGCCTCCTAAAATAGGACACGACAAGCCTGTTTGGTTGCTTAAGTTGGTGGCTCATGACTTGACCATTTTCTTCTGCTTCTTCTTGTTATATATAATCCAGATTTAAGATGGTAATATGTAAGCGTTTTGACATCCGATCCGATTCAACTTGATCGCAGGTGATGAATAATTCCCACTGGACCTTTGCACGTTCATTTCTAAATGCTTGTGTTTATGTAAAGAAATCTTCTTATCTTTCGTTCCAAAACTTGGATGCAGAGAGCCATAAACCAAATTATAGATTTTCTCTTTTCTTTTCAAACGGTGTTCTTTTTAGGCAAAGTTGAAAACAGTTTCAGACAAAAAAAATAAAATTCTTAAGTGAAGTGACTTGAAGGGAGTTAATTTGAGTTAATTTATTTTTTTCTTTTTAATTTAATTTTTTTTGGGTTGATTGACTTATGTATTAACTCAAATTTTTAATTATATCATATATCATATTATATAATTTTCCTTTATTTTTATTGAAATCCAATTTAATTTAGATCATATAATCATTCAATTAAGAATTAATTTATTAAAATAAATTGATTTTTAAAATAATATTTCTGGATTTTTTAAGTTTAAATATTGATATAATACTTAAAAAAATTATTAATATTTTTTAGATTCATCTATGAAGAAAATATTTTTAAGATTGGTTGGATTTTTTTTTAATTTTAGATGATAAGTAAGTTGTTTCAAAAATATATTTATTGTAAAAAAAAAAAAACTAAACCTTGAGGCTTCATTTAAGGAGGTCAGTGCTAGATATATTTATTCACGAAAAAAAAAAAATATTTGTCCTTCACCGAGAGAAAAAAAGGTATAAAGTCTTCTGTTTTTCCTGTTATTTAAAATTTGTAAAAAACCAAAAAAAAAAAAGAGGAATGAAAAATCTAAAAGTAAAACCTCTGACCTTAAACCTCAGCCTATCTATCCAAGAACAAAAAAAAATCCTCAACTGCAGAAGAGAAGAGAAGAGAAGAGAACCAGTTTCCAGTGTGGTTCAGGTATAAGAATAGCTGTAACTAGTTTTAACTATCAATCTATCACTTCATAGACCCAACTATGATAATGACCGAAGTATGTGGCCTCCGTACACGCTGCCTACACTTCCTCCTCCGCTCTTCTTCCTCCTCTTTCTGTCGCCACGGCCGCCAATTCGCCACCACCACAACATGCTCCATTCCCGTGCCAAAGAAAAAAGACAAGTTAATTGTGATTTCTGGTCCCACTGGATCCGGCAAGACCCGTCTCGCATTAGAGCTTGCCAAACGCCTTAACGGTGAAATCGTCAGCGCCGACTCCGTCCAGGTCTCTTCTTGTTCTCATGTTGCCCCCTCTTTTTATGGTTTCTATCTTTTTTTTGGTTAATCACTGCTTTGTTTGCTTCTTTGGGAAAAGAAAACAAAGTAATCTGAAAACAAATGGAAGGGAGGATTTAGCCTTTTGGTTGGTAAGAGAAATGTAGGATAAAAAGAAGAAGTTTTAATTGTCTCAGGACTTTGAAGAAGTTAGGCATGATCATTTATTTATCTGGGTTTATTTTAGACGGCCTTCTTTTTACGCTTGAAATTCCAGAGTACTGAAAATTCTGTTCAGGTGAATTGAAATTGATTGTTTTATCTGCCTTTCACTGTAGGTATATCGTGGTCTTGATGTGGGATCAGCAAAGCCTACTGAGAGTGAACGAAAGGTCTTTATTCATGTTCCATACGTTATGCTTTTGTTTTTTGTTGTTTCTGTTGATCAGTGTCACTTTTCCTGGCACTAAAATAATTGTAGGTCATCATGTAATTCGCTTTGGTGCAAATGTTCCAAGTAATTCTCTTCATGAGCACAGAAAAATATTCACTTAGATTTTGGTGGATATGCATCTCATAACTTTGGAACTTTTTATATAGAAGAAAAACTGTGAAGCTTTTGGTCAACCTCAACCTGTTATTTGATGCGTGTTATATTCTTGGAATGGTGCGCTTGAGGAATTATGTGTCGCGCACCATCTTGGCAACTTATAATAGCAATATTACTCTCACCAGGTAACAGAATTTCATGTATAAAATGATATGAGCGTGTCAATTTCCTGTGATTAAACTTATTGAACACTTGATTGTTGAAGGGAGGAAAATAGAAAAAGAAAGAGAATCGTCAAGAATTATTTTATTTGTGCTAGTGCACTCATTTCATGCTTGAAGTTTATATCCTTCCTTGAAATATTATTATCTAGCAATAATGGCATGGAACCTCACAAGACCATATTGTATCTGCTAAACTTGCCAATTTTCTCAGTGTAGAGCTCATTTATTTTTGGGTGAAATACGCTGCTTTCCTCTTATATTGATATGCAAAGTAAAACATACCTGGCAGTTGATAGATATATATAGTTTAGCCGGTGTGAATAGTTTTTTTAATCTCAAACTGTACGCCTTTTTGCAGGAAGTCCGGCACCATCTAGTTGACATATTACACCCATCTGAAGGTATGCTTTTTGATGGACCAGCTGATGTATATGAAGCATTGTAGCACATCATTTTTTATGGTAATTTGTATTTTGCTCTTTGATGGAATACAAACTCCTCCCTTAAGATTCTTCTCATACCATGTCCTTTCAGATTATTCAGTTGGGCAATTTTACGAGGATGCAAGACAAGCAACTCAAGATATTCTCAAAAATGGTCGTGTTCCCATAGTCACTGGTGGGACTGGATTGTACCTGCGATGGTATCTATTTGCATAACTCATCTATAATTACGATCAATCTTTCTAAAGAAGTTCCCCCTTCTTTTGGGTTGAGAAAAAGAATACTTGTAGGAAAAGTCTCTACTACGTACTACATAAGCTTCCAAAATCACATCATTGCAGAATTTGAATTTATGATATAATGGTCAATAATGAGTTTGCATCAACATAAATAAAAACACGGTTCTTTTCTGCAGTTAATTTTTTGAGGAAAAAAAGAAGTAAAGATAAGAACATAAATTCTTCTAGCCTATTTATCTTGCATAACCGTTCATAGGACACATGCAACATGTTTAGCTACAGAAATAAGGAAAAACTAGTTATATTGATTTGAAAATGGTGATTATAAGCTTGTTTTGATGGTCATTTTCAACCAGTTAGGAGCGTATTTTTCATACCTTTGACAGAAGTTTCTCAACCCTTTGCTATTTCCTTGAATATCACACATGACACTGTTACTGACAAGGCATGGTTGGTTGAACAGTTCCTTATAGTTAAGACCTTTCATATATCATTTCTACTAGTTCCTTATATTGTACGGCAATAAAGCTCTATGTTCTAGATTGTGCTGGAAAGACTCTAAAAGGGCTCCTTTCTTTATTTTTGCTCTCCTTCCTTTATCCCCTCTCCTTTTTAGGTTGATGGAAGGAAATTATATATATTGCTTGTAAAACACACAAGAGTATCTTATGATGCTAGTTTTCACTTTTATCTCTTTAATGTGATTCTTAGGTTCATATATGGAAAGCCAGATGTTCCTAAAGCCTCACCAGAGATTGCATCTGAAGTACATTCCGAGCTTGCAGAACTTGAGAGGAATAAGGACTGGGATGCAGCTGTGCAGTTGGTGGTCAAAGCAGGTGATTCACAGGCACAGTTTTTGGCTGCCAATGATTGGTATCGCTTGCGGCGTAGCCTTGAGATAATTAAGGTTAATTTGTGAAGTTTTCTAGCTATATTTTGACATCAACCGAATTTATATCAAGGTCATGGTTGTGCAACTTTTATTGTGGGTGTTGGATGCGTGGATTGTTGAAAATTATAACTGCACAATAATATGGAACTATTTACACAACACAAACAAAGTGATTTCATCTCTTTGAACAACAACAACAACAACAATATCCCAACATTTTTAAACCATTTATTACTTAAGAAGCCCTAACCAAAATGTAATTGGCTGTCATGAAATCATGACACTGAAATCCCTCACCCTAATATCTCTTATGCCTCTCCCTAGTCACATGAGTGCAGGCACTCCTCTTCCCAACGGGCACAGGGATAAGTTGCTTTTGACATCACAGAACAAACTATTTTCTTCGTTATCAGTTTATGTTAATTATATTAGGAAACAATTTCTTTTTTGTTTGTGTTTTATGAGGCTGCATAACTAGATTGAATGCATGTATTTTCCATTGATTTTTGTTTCTCTTGGTGTGGCAGACTAGTGGATCTCCTCCATCTGCTTTTCAAGTTCCATACAAGTCTTTCAAGGACCAATTTGATACAAGATTAACAGACAGCTCCCATGATGTGAATTCATCTAGTGATTTGGACTATGAGTTCATTTGTTTTTTCCTCTCAAGCCCCAGACTTGATCTCTATAAATCAATTGATTACCGATGTGAAGATATGCTTGCAGGTAGATTATATCACAGCTCATCACTATTATAGACACGTATTTGCTAAAAAGGAATGTACTAATGAAAAAAGAAGAATATACAAGTACAATAAGAGGAATGAGACATGATCCAATGAGATGACAGGAATAAAAAAGCGAAGACAAGCAGGCATTACAATGCGACTGAATAGAAACTAAAGACACTCTTGAAGCTCATAAAACATTGTGCTTTAATGATGCTGGGAATGCTTTCCTATTCTGTAGTCACAAAGTAGGGTACCATCAAAGATTTTGAATTTCTTCCATCTGGATGTTCAATCAAACTGTGAACTTATCACAGTTAATAATTAATAATAGAATCCTCCACTCTACCCGGCACCATATAAGATTCACCACTAACTGCAAAAGGCCTTTGCTGCATTTCCCAATATGCTGAGGTATGAAGAAAAATGTAT